AAGTGGAAGAGCAGTTCATCGTTGATTTCGTGTCAACGAATGAACTGAACTTCGCCTTTTAATTTCAGATCTCTATGTAAATTACATTTGTGTATATATATGTATGTATTTTGTTAAAATTGTCTGAAATTAATAAAGTCGTTTATTATTATTATTATTATTATTATTATTATTATTATTATTATTATTATTATTATTATTATTATTATTATTATTATTATTATTATTATTATTATTATTATTATTATTATTATTATTATTATTATTATTATTATTATTATTATTATTATTATTATTATTATTATTATTATTATTATTATTATTATTATTATTATTATTATTATTATTATTATTATTATTATTATTAATTGTTTAGGATTTATTAAATCTTTACGGTACTTTTACTAGTTTAACTTTTATTAATTATACTGGAGGATAGAGGACAATGTACTGAATTTCGTTTCTAGCGTAAATGTTACCTTTAGGATGTACTAGATCCAGTACAATTGTACTAGATTGGCAGAACTCATTGCCATATGACATTCGAGTATATTGGAATTGGGTTAGCAATACGTTAAAAAGAGACAACGATTAATGCTAGAAAACGAACGTTACTATCCATATCAAATCATAAGGCACCGTAATTTTACCAAAAATATTTACAAACTGCAGCTCGAACAAACTTAATATATACGTGTTTTCAGTTGAAGCAGATTTCCAATTAGGTTTTTTATAATTCAACACTTAAGTATTAAAATATACGAAAAAATAACGTAATTCCGACGAATTCTAAGTGACGTCATCAATGCGATGTCAAATACACGTTACTGATTAGGATATTGTATTTCGGATAAATTAATACTAAAAAATTACGTCATAATGACGAGTCTGTATTGACGTCTAATTAACGTTGCAAAAACGACGTCAAAGTAACGTCATTAATTGGGAGAGTGACGTTTCAAAGAAAATAACTCGTTGCCAGAATTTTTCTATACCCTGTATATATTTATTAAGGACACAAACAGGACAAACCCAGAACAGTGTAAACTAAAAATATTTAAAATATAAATTAAATTTGGATTCCAAAAAAAATATGTCACAAATGTAAAGAGTAAGCTTAAGTGCATCTTTAACCTTAATAAAGTTGCAGAGAAAAATGTCAATGTACTTATTCGACAATTTATTGTGTTAGTGGCCCTATGAACGGGCGAATTTAAATAGAGCCTGATTTACGAAGAAAGTATAACAATTTCTCGTATTATAATTAGGAATAACAATTTGAATAAGATTCATTATTTCAATACAATCAATTCTGTTATTTAAAATCTTGTGGATGAACATGACATCTGCTATTTGCCTACTATGAGAGTAAAATTTTCTTTGGCAGAAAGAAATAAACTTATTATGAAGCTGAAACTAGCAGCTAGAGTTAGCAGCCTGTGTGAGAAAATGCATACAAGTTAGATATCACAAAATAAAGCAATATTACTACTTAATTTGTCTTATTATAATAATATTAGTAATGATAACAATAATAATGATAATAACAAAGTGAGGATATCCGTATTTGGAAAAAAAAATATCAATAAAAATGTTATGAATATAGGTACTTTAAAAAAAAACTTCAAATATATATTCAAATTTTTCTTAACGAAAAATGATGGGCACTGGGTTAAATCATACATAAATAGATTCTTCAAGTAATAGGGTACAAGAACACATCAATCAAAAAAACAATATCGAGTGCTGTATTGTTGAAATGATTATATTTGTATGCTAGAGTAATACCTAACACAAAAAACATATTGTTTTTTTAATGAAAAATTAATGGCGCTGCTGGGTTCTATCGTAAATAAATGGAATCCTCAAACAATATGCTATAAGAATAAGTTAATCAAAAGTACATTATCGAGTGCTAGAACGTTGAAAATATCAAAAAACATTCAGGCTCGAGAGACATTTCCAATAAAAATGTGATTTCTCTTAACGAAAAACTATCGGCGCTGGGTTATATGATATATCTGTGGATTACTCAAGCAATAGGCTACAAGAATACGTCAATATAAAATACAATATCGAGTGCTAGAACGTTGAAAATAACAAAAATTAATTAGGCTAGAGAAATATTTTTTGTAAAAATATGATTTTTCTTTAAGAAAAATTAACGGCGCTGGGTTTCATCGTACATAAATGGAATCCTCAACCAATATGCTACAAGAATCAGTTAATCAAAAGTACATTATTGAGTGCTAGAATGTTGAAAATATCAAAAAACATTCCGGCTCGAGAGACATTTCCAATAAAAATATGATTTCTCTTAAGGAAAAATTATCGGCGCTGGGTTATATAATATATCAATGGATTTCTTAATTATTATGCTACAAGAAAACGTCAATCTAAAACATTATCGAGTGCTAGAGCGTTAAAAATATCAAAAAACAATTTGGTTCGGAAGACACTTTACATAAATTGTAATTTTTCTAAATATCCATAATCCAATATCGAGTGTTGATTGATTGAAATAATATATTTTTATGCTAGATATAACATATGATTAAATCATAAGGGATTCATCAAGTAATAGGCTACAAGAATACTATAATCGGAAATACAATATCGAGTGTTACAACGTTGAAAATAATAAAATATATTTAAGCTCTGGAGACTCTTTACATAGAAAATATGAATCTTCTAATAGAAAAATTATCGGCGTTGGGATAAATCATACATTAGTTGTTCGTTAAGAGAAATCACATTTTTATTGGAAATGTCTCTCGAGTCTGAATGCTTTTTGATATTTTTAACGTTCTAGCACTCGATAATGTACTTTTGATTAACTTATACTTATACTTATAGTATATTGCTTGAGGATTCCATTTATGTACGATAAAACTCAGCGCCGTTAATTTTTCTTAAAGAAAAATCATATTTTTACGAGAAATATTACACTAGCCTATCTAATTTTTGGTAATTTCAACGTTCTAGCTCTCGATATTGTATTTTATATTGACGTATTCTCGTAGCATATTGCTTGAGTAATCCACTGATATATCATATAACCCAGCACCGATAGTTTTTCGTTAAGATAAATCACATTTTTATTGGAAATGTATTTCGAGCCTGAAAGTTTTTTGATATTTTCAACGTTCTAGCACTCAATAATGTACTTTTGATTAACTGATTCTTATAGCATATTGGTTGAGGATTCCATTTATGTACGATAAAACCCAACGCCGTTAATTTTTCTTAAAGAAAAACCATATTTTTACGAGAAAAATTTCTCTATCCTAACTAATTTTTGTTATTTTCAACGTTCTAGCATTCGATATTGTATTTTATATTGACGTATTCTAGTAGCCTATTGCTTGAGTAATTCACTGATATATCATATAACCCAGCGCCGATAGTTTTTCGTTAAGAGAAATCACATTTTTATTGGAAATGTCTCTCGAGCCTAAATGTATTTTGATATTTTCAATGTTCTAGCACTCGATAATGTACTTTTGATTAACTGATTCTTATAGTATATTGCTTGAGGATTCCATTTATGTACGATAAAACTCAGCGCCGTTAATTTTTCTTAAAGAAAAATCATATTTTTACGAGAAATATTACACTAGCCTATCTAATTTTTGGTAATTTCAACGTTCTAGCTCTCGATATTGTATTTTATATTGACGTATTCTCGTAGCCTATTGCTTGAGTAATCCACTGATATATCATATAACCCAGCGCCGATAGTTTTTCGTTAAGAGAAATCACATTTTTATTGGAAATGTATTTCGAGCCTGAAAGTTTTTTGATATTTTCAACGTTCTAGCACTCAATAATGTACTTTTGATTAACTGATACTTATAGCATATTGGTTGAGGATTCCATTTATGTACGATAAAACCCAACGCCGTTAATTTTTCTTAAAGAAAAATCATATTTTTACGAGAAAAATTTCTCTATCCTAACTAATTTTTGTTATTTTCAACGTTCTAGCATTCGATATTGTATTTTATATTGACGTATTCTAGTAGCCTATTGCTTGAGTAATTCACTGATATATCATATAACCCAGCGCCGATAGTTTTTCGTTAAGAGAAATCACATTTTTATTGGAAATGTCTCTCGAGCCTAAATGTATTTTGATATTTTCAATGTTTTAGCACTCGATAATGTACTTTTGATTAACTGATTCTTATAGCATATTGGTTGAGGATTCCATTTATGTACGATAGAACCCAGCGCCGTTAATTTTTCATTAAAAAACAATATGTTTTTTGTGTTAGGTATTACTCTAGCATACAAATATAATAATTTCAACAATCCAGCACTCGATATTGTTTTTTTGATTGATGTGTTCTTATACCCTATTACTTGATAAATCTATTTATGCATGATTTAATCCAGCGCCGATCAATTTTCGTTAAGAAAAATATGAATATATATTTAAAGTTTTTCTTCAAAGTACCTATATTCATAACATTTTTACTGATATTTTTTTTCAAATAGGGGTATTCTCACTTTGTTATTATCATTATTATTGTTATCATTACTAATATTATTATAATAAGAGAAACTAAGTAGTAATATTGCTTTATTTTGTGATATCTAACTTGTATGCAATTTTCTCACACAGGCTGCTAACTCTGGCTGCTAGTTTCAGCTTCAAAAACTTATTTCGTATGGATTCTAATTTATCAATATAAATCAAGTACCGGGGATTCCAAACGACAGAGCCATACATAGGAATACTGTTGACATAGGCCGTGTGCAAGGTTCTGACAGTATGTGGGTTTTTTAGTTCAAAACAAGATCTGAAGATAAAACCGAATTGTTTGTGTGTCTTTTTAGCTACATTGTATAAATGCTTATCAAAAATAAATTTTGAGTTCAGAAAAATACCTAGATCTTTAACATTATCTACACGGTGAAGAATACAATTAGAAACAGTATAGATATTTTTCAATATAATCCCTTAATTATTTATTATCAAATATATTAAAACCTACCTTTCACAAATATTTCTTCCTCTATCAACTTTTCATATGGTGTTTTAAATATATAAAAAAATATTTTTCCTTCGCCACCCTTTACGTAATTATCGTCCAAAAACGTAACAAATTCATCTTCGAGATCTTCTTTACTGGCCATCATTTCCTCAAAATAACGGTTCTCTTTTAAGTTTAACATGTTTAGGACAAGTTTTTTTATCCATTCTATTCTGTAGTCTCCGGACATTTTCCCGAAAAATTAGTATTTATATTAGGAATTTATTAAATTAATGTTTGATAGATATTCTATTGATGACACGACATCATGTCAATGTTGATGTTTTTGGAAACATCAGAAATGCGGTTGCTGTGATTACCTATTGTTGCGTTACCCTATATTAAATGACTTGTTGCTAAGTGATAATGCGTGATCAATATCTGTACCCCAGATCCAGAGTATGTTAAGTCCAAAAACTTAGTTTTTCAGGAGAGCATTTTTTATATATTCATTTTAGACTGTGGAGTGTGGGCTTAGCGTAGTTAAAAAATGAGCTGTTTTTGTTATTTTAAAAGATACGTCAAAATGGAAAATATCGAACCATGCGCAGCAAAATTTTAAATCACTTAACATATTTACCTAAAATTTGGCCAATTTGGACTTAACATAGTCTGGCTCCGAGGTACAGATATGCAATCGTATAAACACTTACTTAGCAACAACATATTAGCCCAAGAGCCCACTGCAAATTTTTACCGTCATCTGATAACGAAATGAAATATACTCCAAAAGCATGGAAAAACATTGTACTTTACCAAATGGCACCTGTGCCAATCCCAATCCTGAGCAAAGTGGCTTAAAAAAATTATTTTATATTAAAAAAATCACATAAGGCATGACAGCGCTAATTTTGTTTGCCTTTAAAGTTTTCTAGAAAATTACATTCAAATATATCTTGATATATATCGTTAAAGGGAAACATTTTCTTCCTCTTCATATTGCACAAAAACATCTATCCACGATTATTAGGTAAAAATCATTAAAAATATGAATCAATGTTTGCTGATTTAAAAATTTATTTGTATGCCTATTGTTGTGATTCTTTTTGACAGGTTGCCATAGGAACCACAAAAAACTACTATGATTATGGTTTAAAATAATTGTCTGACAAGAGTTTATAATTATTATTGACTATCTCTGCAAATGGTTTATACAATACCATCCTTCTTCCTTTTATATATAAATATGGTTTAAAAGGTAGGTAAAAATATTAATAATTCAGGTTTAAAAGCTAGTTTTACAATGAATTAGGATTGTTATTTTCAGGGAAAACACAATTGTCGCTGTCATGTCTTATGTGATTTTTTGAATATAAAATAATTTTTTTTAGCCACTTTGCTCAGGATAGGGATTGGCACAGGTGCAATTTGGTAAAGTACAATGTTGTTACATGCCTTTGGAGCATATTTCATTTCGTTATCAAATGACGGTCGAAATTTGCAGTGGTCTCTCATACCATATGTTAATACCTTAGAACATGACTATCTATATTCTAAGAATAATACAAAGGTAGTTTATAGATAAAATTATTAGGTCAATTACTTAGATACAGAGTGATTTATGAATTTTGCCTAAATTTTTATTTGGCCAATGCTCAACAACCAATTAGTATAAAAATTTCAAATTTGGTATATGGATTTTCCTTGCTATATCAATAATAATGCCATAGAAAGCATATTTAAAATTGAGGTACGGCTTAACAAAATTTGGCCATTTCCTTTTGCATATATACAGTATGTTTCATACAATTACGCCAGAAGAACGGTATAGAATAAACGATGTCATTGATTAGACAGAGGTAAAATAGTGGACGCCAGCCAGTTGGTTCTCAAATCTTCAAATACCTCTACACAGCATCGGTGTATATAAGAAATGCATTTAGATGCATACTGAGAAAATATCTTCATCTGTGTGAGTTAAGTGTAGGTAAATACATTATTAAAATTAATTGCATCGTCTGTTCTATATAAAAATAAATTTTACTATATTTGTAGTTTTTAGGACCTCAGTGATGTTGGAAAACTGGATATCCCAAATATTAATTGCCAATGTGAATTATTAATGGCGAATTGAAACTAACATAGAGTATTACCAGAATAGACCTTTTCATCATGTGATGAGCGCAATTCAAAAGTTTCGTACTGTTTTGATCGACAATGGCTGGGAAAACAATATTATCTTTACAGAAAAATTAATGATTAGAAAAAATCGTTGATGGTGAATAACTTTTATATGACTCTGTGGAAGCGCATAGTTGTGAGCAGTTAAAAAGGTGGTTGAAGTGTATTGGGCGTTTGCTACAAAAAAAAGGTGGACTGATTGAGAGGTTAGGTGTATCAATACTTCTTACCTGTGTAAAACATTAATGAAAACAAATAATAATTATACCTCTATTCTAATTAATTATGCCAACCAACTATTAGTACTTGTAAAAACACTTTAATTAACATGAAAGTTAATCACGAGTATACTTAATAAAATAAATTATTTAATATTTTGAGGATCAACATGACATTTTACTGTGTATACCGAAGTATTATTTAATATTAAAAAAATATTGTTTAATACCAGATAAGAATTTTCTTGTTGGGCCACTATCTCCATAAAAATGTAGTGAACAAATATAAGTATCTATATTTAGTAACATCAATCCATCGAAAACCGTTGTCACTTCGACCACATTTTTTTCACACCTAATGCACATTTTGAACATGTTTTAATATGGATTTTGCCTAATAATTTGATAATACTTTACGATATTGCAGCCAAGGCTTTGGAAAATTTTTAACATAATATGTGTATTGCATTTGAATGATTTATATCCTGTGTCACTTTTACATACTCCATAACAACACCGTTTCGTTGTTCCTTTCCATACAGATAAAATAATTATAATTGATGGCAAAAATTTATTTTTTAATTAAGGGCCGATTCCACCGTTGTGTTAAACGGAGATTAAAATGACATTGTTAATGTAAAAATGTCATTTTAAACTTCGTTTAACACAAGAGTGGAATCAGTCCTAAGGACATTTTTACATTAACAATGTCATTTTAATCTCCGTTTAACACAACGGTGGAATCGGCCCTTAGACACTAAACTTATTATTACTTTGCTTTTTATTTCTTTTTTTAAATGAATATACTTAAATTAATATTTATCGAACATAATTTTTTTCACGTGGGCATTTTAATATGCTTCTTTACAAAAACAGTACGAAAAAGATGGCTGATACTGACGCATGCGCACAAAAAAAAATTGTGATGAAAAGGTCAAAGACACAGCAAAAGAAAGCAATAACGGGGCTAAGCAAGGTACAAAGACTTGCCTGCCTCGGAATAACGGGGGCAATGAAAACAACCCACACAGCTGCAATGGAAGCACTAATATAGGACTCCCACCTCTTCACTATGTGATCCAAGGGGAGGCAAGATTAGGTGCTAAAAGATTAGGGAATACACTGGGAAATCTTGACATTAGGCCAGGTCACATGAGTATCTCAAGGTTAGTGACAGGAGACGTGCTAGACATGAGATCAGACCACATAACCAAGAGGTACTCTTTTAATACTCCATTTGAGGTTTTAATACAGGAAAGAGCGGAGATCACCATAAGGGAGCCCAATGCCCAACGGCAGGAACAAACCTGATATACAGACGGGTCTAAGACTGCGGAAGGCACTGGGGCGGAAGTATTCTCCAAAAACCATGATACTAACCATAGCTATGCTATAGGGATACATTCCTCGGTATTTCAGGCCGAGGTATACGCAATTTTGCAATGTGCAAAAACGAACAATGAAAGAGCTGTCGAAAATCAGCATAGACAGCCAAGCGGCACTTAAGACCATATCGAGTCAGAAAGTTACGTCGAGGCTGGTATGGGAATGCATCGAAAAAACTAAGAACACTGGCAGACCGAAATAGAGTAAAACTATTTTGGGTGCCAGGTCACCAAGGGATCGAAGGCAACGAAAAGGCTGACGAACTTGCAAAAAAAGGGTCAGAAGAAACACCGGAACCAGACACAAACCCAGGAGTACCAAAATGTACAGTCCGGGGTTTCATAAACGACTGGATTCGGGAACAACATATTAACTATTGGGAAGCACCCCAAAACAGGTACATGGAAAAGCCTTCATAGGCAGACCATGTCCCAAAAGAACTGGAGAACTACTCTTTATGAATAGGAACCAGTTGAAAGTGATAACAGGGTTCATGACTGGGAACGCCCCAGTAAAGGGACACTTGAACAAAATTGGCATGTACAATGGGGGAACTCATGTGCCGACTATGTCACAAGAAACCAGAAACGGCCAAACACATACTGTGCGAATGCGAAACTCTAGATCGCAAAAGACAGGCTCTTACAGGTTGATCCAACAACCCACTCACCCAAGGATATGTACAAACTTGTACAAGGTACAAAGGTGACAGAGTGGGTGCTATGAACTAACATGGGGTAAAACACAATAAGCTAATAGGCTTCAGTGTTATTCGGAGACAGTCAGACGAGCCCAGGAGAAAAAAAATTAGGGTGTCTAGTATATGCTAAATTTAAATACTTAGCACGTACCTATAACGTTCTATCTAATGAAAGTAGATACTTTTTTTTTGAGAATTGGCATCTAAACGTAGTTTTTTGCTACAAACTTTTGTAAAGCGAATAATTATTTATTTATGTATCTATATACAGGGTGTTTTTTAAACATGCGGCAAAAATTCAAGGGGTTGATCCTTGGACTATTCTAAGAGTATCGATGATTTTTTAAATTCCGTTTCGTTTAGGAGATACAGGGCGCACAACATTTTCGAGAAAACTATTTTTATTATTTTTAAAATTATTAATAGTCTAAATAAAAATAGGTACTACACTGTGTTAACCAAGAACATACAACTTTTCTAAAAATTCGTTATTTTTATTATTTTTTAACAATATTCCAATCACTAAAAACGGCTTTTTTTCCACTTAACAAAACGGATTTTCAAAAATCATCAAGGGACAAAATATTCTTAGAATAGTCCAAGGAACAATCCCTTGAATTTTTGCCGCATGTTTAAAAAATGTATATAAAATTGTTTGTCCTGACTGACCTATCAACGTACAGCCAAAACTACTGAGCCTAAAAAGCTGAAATTTGGAACATAGGTTTAAATTTTTAACCGACTTCAAAAAAGGAGGAGGTTTTCAATTCGTCGCGATATTTTTTTTATGTATGTTCAGCAATAATTCTTCAACACGGTGTCCGATTTCAATAATTCTTTTTTTGTTAGAAAGAGGATACCTCAGGGGTGGTCCCATATAAATTTGGTTAAGATGTGGTGACGGCATCTGCACGTTTTTGAAGTCGTTTTTTTTTTAATTTTTAATTTCTAATACTTGTATAACGTGAGCATCCGCTAGGAAAGGATTTTTGGAAATTTTAACTCATCATAAATAAATAATGCAGTATTTTAGGGTTTTTGCATTTTCACATTTTAAGGGGGGGAAAGGGGGGTGAAAATTTGTTTGAAAGTATGTATATATTTTTTTTGTTCCTTAAGGTTAAAAACATGAAAATTTTAAATACAGCTACTGATCAAAAATAAATAATGATTTGTTTCATGGTTTTTGGATTTTCACATTTTAAGGGGGGGGGGGGAATAAAAATAAATAAAAATCAACAATAAATAAAAATAGATAAAAATAAATAAAAGGAAATAAAAATTAATAAAATTAAATGAAAATAAATAAAAATAAGTACTGCGTGCAATCTGGTGATATTAGCAGATGAGAGCCGTACCAGAAATGAGGTATAAAATGAGATTATCAATTAAATTAATATATTTAAATATTAGAATAGTCTAATTAACATTAATCTATAATACATAACAGTACTTGAAGTACATTCTCTGTATCTGCATAGCACACGTATAAACAACGTCCCATAACATATACTGAGAATGTACTAAATGCAAATAAAGTATATTCTTAGCATATGCGCGTTCTTAAAAAGTATATACTAAGAATATGCTAAGAATATATACTTATACAACATTAAAAATGTTCCAACGTAACATTTTTAAAATATTTCTGAAATGTGTTTGATGGTGATTTTCACAATTGTTCTTAAAAATCAAGGCATTTTTTATATCTTTTTTATTGCTTATTATTTCAAACTATACCCTTTTCCTTTATACACATTCTGATGTATTAAAATACCTGAAGTGTCCAACACAGGACTTTCCTGTACCTAAAGTAATAATATATAGGCTCATATTTTTCTTATTACAGGAAAAAAAATTATTTCTTTGTTTTAAATAATAATTATTAACTATTACTAGATACTTAAATGCAAGTCTATAAAACATGTGCCAAATTTACAAAACGTATTTTGAAGGTATGTATTTAATTTATTATTTATATTAATTCCTCGGAACCTAAACAAAAGTTGAATGCAGAGACTGTGAAATATATATGCTCGAAGTAAAATCTGGATTTTTGTATCAAGTATTTTTCAAATATCTGAATTTTGCACTATTTCAGTCCACACAAACATTTTGTGTAAGGGAATAAAAGGCCCAATAACTGTTACCCTCCAATTGTAATGATGGCCAGGGTTCGAAAATATCATGATATTTATATAAATATCATATCACATGATATATATCTGATATATATCATTTTTAAAATTTAAAAAACAGAACTGTTTCTTGCACAAACTATATTTTAAATTTTAACACAAACATACTAACAAAAACCTATATTCTAAACAACAAAACCGTTTATTCTAACTCAAGTTAAGAAGAAAAAACAAAAATAATTAATAAAATAAACCGATTTTAACATTATTTTGTTAACATTAATATTTTAACACAAACACATAAATTGCTAGTTATTATACTTTTATACAGGGGTGTATTGAGACATTTTCAGATGTTCAGAATGATAGAAAACATTTTTAATTTAATAAATAAAATTATCGAATATATCGGATATACATCAAGGCATAAATATCATGATATATATCGTGATATATATCACTTGATATATATCCTCCGAACCCTGATGATGGCCATTTAACTTTTATAATTAAAAGGCCGGCATATATAGGTCACTGCAGCCGACGTCACATAGGCATCAAGTCCAGTTAATAGGCCTCCAGTTTCCCTTTAATATTTAGAAATAAATATGTGGGAAATTAATGGCCCATTGATTGGAAGTTAACGGGAAATTTAGACCTTTTACCATATTAATACTGACTACTGAATTAAGGCCATGTCCATGACCAGTCTGTCGATTCGGTAGTATTTATAAAAAGGCGGAGCTGAGAAAAAATAGGTAAGATAAACTAAATATCAAAACTAACAATTAAAAATTAGTAGGTATTATGCTCCAGAAAATCCATATTTCAAGAAAAGATATGAATTCCAAGAATCGGACACTAAAACTCAAATACACATGTATTTGTACACAACACTGACGCTCGAATTTCCCGATAATATATAAATGTATAGGTACTATAGGTTATGTGCCCTCCCTGATTCTTCTTCTTTTTAAAATTAATATAACGATTTTACCGTTTATTTCTCAACTTGTTAGCTGATGATGGATCGGCAGAAATAACAGTTTAAAGCCTTTTAATTTTGACCATGCTTTTACCCAATACAGTTACTTATCCTTCATACGGCCATCATCAACCAACATAATGCTGGATCATTATCGAAAGGCCAAAAGTAGGCCTTTACCTTTTACGTCACATTCATTTTCCCTTCAACAAAAAGCCAGCAATTCATTATTTGTTGGGCTGTATTGCTGTTAGAATTTTTAGTTTTAATTAAGATATCTTTCTGTTCACATAAATATTGTCAATTTAAATTAATGTAGGTATTAGTAAGAGATACCTATAAATTAGTCTTGTATTTAATATAAATAAATTGAGTCATAAAATAAAAGTCTATAAATTAAAACCTATGATCCATAATGAGAAAATTTGGTTTACCAGTATTGTTAAAAATACCAGGACATAGTCACATTGAAAGTACATTTAAGATTAAAAATAATTAAAAAAAAAACTAACAACTTGTTTTAAGTATAATGACTAAATTACAACACATTTTTCCTAAATTTGATCAATAAGTTTAAAATTTTGATGTTGAGGCTCCGTTATAATATTAAAGTACTTTTTATAAAAATCTACACCCTTTCTATGACCATGACATCTCTGTACCCAAGTGTGATCCCAATCTAAATCAACTTTTTCACATGTAATGGATACTCTGCCTGGTACCATTGCAAAAAGGGTCCCGTTTCTGCCCAGGCCTACATTCAAGCCAGGATGAAACCTTAAATTTCTCTGGAGAACCAAAACGCTACCTGGATACACATAATGACCATCTTGAACCTGTTAACATAGGATTTTAGTATCAAACTAATTTTTTGAAACAAATTATTTTTACCTTAACGCCCCTATGTTTAGGCCGCACTTTTGTGCTTGTATTGCTAGTACTGCCCCCTGTTTTCTTACTAGCGTATCTAATTGTGTTTTGTAAAAGACTTGGTTGCTCTAAAATTGTATTTTTTAAAGAATATAAAGCAAAATTCATTTTACCTTTTTTTAAGAATTATAACCTAGTAAAATCTAAATTCTTCTTTTTTATGTTCTCTAAATGAACTATTTACGAATACCGTAGTGCTGAATATCTGTACTAATGAGACCAATTTTTAATAGAAAGATGAATTGTCAAAAAAACCTTTGGTCACTTTTTCATTTGACTTTTTGATCAGCTGTTTGGGGGTGTATTTGTATTAAAAGATAAAAATGGAATTAAAGAGCGAAAGTTTTTTTAAGATTTTGAGCTAAATATCAACATTAGAAAAATTCCATAATATGACGTAAAAATATTTACATGAAAAAACTACAAGAAGTGCAACGTTTAAGTCTAATTTCAAAGGAAAGTGAAAGTTCAATTTTTTTATTCAAATATGGATAGAGGATCATACGAAAGATTAAGTATAAGAGAATCAGCACAATCATTAAAAAAATACGGAAGCACTAGCAAACACATTACTAAAAATGATAGTTTTATCAAGCACTATGTTAGTAATACAGATACCTTACAGGGGATCGCACTGAAACACAATGTAACGGTGAGTAATTTCTACAAGATTTCAAATATATTTATGTATCAAACGGGTTAGGGGACTGCTGTTGGTTCCCTGTATCCGAACTCGAACCCTCATTACACTGAGTTTAAAATTAAAGTAAGTTGTGAGTCGTAACAGATTTTTATTTGTTTTTCCACTAAGTTATATGTAGGTACTTAAAGCCTATTTTGTGCTACTATAATTTTTTATCATGTTTACATCCTTGGCAAAAGATCTTGATAATGTTTCAGAATTTAGGAATACCTTCATAATCACATTCATCATCCTCTATTTTTGTGAGTAAATCGTGAACTAGAATATAAATCTTTTTACATACAAGATCAGTAATGCTCATATAGAAATATCTGTGGGTATAGATATATCTTCACTAGTTCTTAAAATAATCAATTATTTTTATTGACATTCCAAAAGGTTATTGACCTAAATCTTTCTAATAAAATATTCCTATAATTACATATTGTACAGTAGTAAATAACGAATTACACCCTAAAAAAAGGTATAATCAATAATAAGAAAGAGTAAATTGTTGACCAAAATTTACATTAAACAAACTATTCAATTGGCTATTTAAATTTATTTTGCTTTAACTAATTTGGTGTATAAAAGTTTCAAAATTGAAACCAAGTAAGTATTTCTAAATGCAGATAATAAAAATTAATCTAACTCTTTCTAATTAAAGAGTGAAAATTACAAACGTGCTGTGTCAGTTTTTATTATTTTGAGATTTTTCCTTAAAAACAATATACGGGCCAACGTGAAATTTTATGTATTCCCGTTTTATTAAAAGATGATGTATGTCCAGAGCTTTCTGCTGCTACATCTACACCTTTTATTCAGTTTTTAAACAATCATTTTTCAATTTATCTGTTGAATCTGATAACCCAAAACTAATATATTATGGTACAGTGTTTTTCCATTCTTCATGTCTATCTTGGTAAAACAAAAATATATTTTTATGCCGTCTCAAAAGTAAATAAAATATTTTTTATTTGTATAATAAAATATTTTTATTTTAATCATACATACACAATTGTTGTGTATAATATTTTTATAACACATTTAGATAATTATGTATTAACATATTATAACGACTATAAAATAAAAACATTTAACTATTTTTTTTCTTCTAAGAACAGAAGCAAAAACATTTACGCTATTTAAAAATCTATATATTTTTTTTTTTTCGAGGTTTTTGAGGTATTAATATCGGATTTCACCATTTATTACTTTAATTTGCACTATACGAATTTGATCAATAACTATTATGCCCATTTTATATAAAACAATTTAATGGATATATTTTTATCTTCAGATTGAACAAATACGTAGAGCAAATAAACTTTGGACCTCTGACAGTCTCTTTTTACGAGAATACCTATTGATACCTAGCACAGAACCTTCGACCAGTTACAGCAGCTCTCATAGCAAGGAAAGACCTCAGTCATTATCAGATTCTATAACTTCCCCTACTAGATCTAGTTTCGATGAAGAAGACATCGATGGCTTCCTAAATAAAATTGATGCTGCTATAGCCACCACAAAAGAAGATGTGCAGAAAACGACGAGAAATAGCGAGTAAGTAAAAATAGTACTTAGACAAAAAATGTATTAGCAGTAAGTAGAAAGAGGATTAAATGTTTCTTCTTTTTCATTTCAATTGTCTAATATATAAAATTGTTATATAAATACAAATTTAGAATTTATATTTTGCTTGAACATTTAACAAATACATAATCACAAAAATTCATTGAGATTCAAAAATGAAAAATTCTAATAAGAAAGGATTATTAAGGATAGCTTCTTATCACAGGAAATGTCCATCAATTAATTCTGTATGCATTTTTTGGAATTTGCCTTTCCAAATAGAATAATTAATGATGTTTACTCATTATCAGTGTTTGTTTATATTAAAATATAAATACTTTTCCAAACTTTAGGTAAACAATTGAAATAATAATAATAAACAAAAATTTATGTTAAGGTTAAACATTTTTGTAAGCAGTAATTTTCATTTGATTATATTTTTTTTATAAAAAGAACATGAAGATATTCTAATTCAAAGCAAAATTGCAGAGACATAATTTAAATTACACAATTCAATGTTAGGTAATACAGCTCTATAATATGTTTTACATGTTATGGGTTATTTCATATTTTAAAGAATTCAATTTAGAGATATACATAGCATATAGATATAATCCACTGAAATATATTATAAAGTCTGATAGATTTTGTAAATTTTAATAATTCTATCTAAAACTTTTAAAGAAAAAGGTCAAATTTGTCTAATACGATAAATAATCAAAGTAACATTTATGTGTTTCTGTGTTCACATACCACGCTCAATGGGACGGAGCCTGGGTACACTACAAACGATATTAAAAATTCATTGGGCACAAATATACAACCAACGACGGCTACAAATTAATATTAGTTTCATATACAGGGTGTTATTGAAATACACGTACATATTAAAATGGGGAATAGTATGTAATGACCAAAAACGATTGGCACCAATTTTAACTTCAAATTCTAAAATTTAAATATTGGGGAAGAGTCCCCTTTTCCGACCTACTAGTTTCCATATTTATAGAAGTAAAATAAATCGAAATTGAACTTACCCATAGAAATTGCACTGTTGCCGTAGCAAAACCAATTAATTCAAAATAAAGTTTATTACAGTAATTGTTCAAAATGCCGTCCATTATTATTTACACACACTTGCAATCGTCTTTCCAAAGAACTTTGAACATTAGAAATTAGTCTTGGATTTTGTCGTAGTTCCTTGGCTACCGCATTAACTTTATTGGTTAATTGTTCAACACTATTAATAGGTTCATTATAAACCAGTTGTTTCATGTGACCCCACAAAAATAAATCGCATGGATTTAAGTCCGGAGATCTCGGAGGCCACTTAGTAGGTCCATTTCTGCCTATCCACTTTTGAGGAAATCTAATGTTCAAAAACTGCCGTACGTTTAAATCAAAGTGAGGAGGAGCGCCATCTAGTAGGTACCACATCCGTTGCCTTAATTGTAACGGTATCTCTTCTAGGAGTACTGGCAAAATATCTTCTAAAAAGTGGAGATATCCTGGCTCATTTAATCTGTTCGGGAGAACATAAGGCCCGATTAAATACTGATCTATTATGCCAGCCCAAACATTTATTGAAAATTTTCTTTGATGCCCAGTTTCCCTAATGGCGTGAGGATTTTCATCACTCCAAATATGCGTATTGTGCATATTGAACACGCCATCACGAGTGAATGAAGCCTCGTCAGTATACAATAATATTTTTAGAAAATCAGGAATATCAACACATTTTTGAATCATCCATTCACAAAACTCCACTCTCTTTTCTTCATCACCTGGATATAAGACCTGGACTTTTTGGATGTGATAAGGATGTAAACCTTGTTCTTTAAGTGTCCGCCACACAACAAATGAGGACACTCCAATTTCAAGACCTAGTCTTCTACAACTTAATTGAGGCCGGTTTTCAACAGCTTCCAATATTTCTTCTTCGGCCGCCAATGTTCTTTGTGTTCTTGTTCTCCCTCGATCTGCATTGACACTCTCAAATTTTCCATGGTCTCTTAGATGCTGAACAGTTGAAATAAACGTACGACAGTCCGGAATTCTCCGATTTGGAAACCGTTCGCGATACAGGATTTGTGCTTGCCGAGAATTTTTTCCAGCTGCCCCATAAACCAGCACTATATCCGTTAGTTCAATATTCGTAAATAGTGGCATCGTAAAAAAATATTTAAAAGTAATCGTAACAACACTTTTTACCAACTTGGAAATGACGCGCTCGTGTTAGCCAGATTCGTAAATCAACTAAAATTTTAATAATCTATAGTTTCAAAAATGTATAGTTTAAAAACAATCATTTATCAAATATTCTAGTTTTTTGATAACGAGGGTAGTAAAAACCAGTCTTCGGAAATAGAAATTAATTCGAAAATCTTGGCAACATGGTTATTTCTTAAAAGACTAGTTTTCTTATCATCTGACAAAAACTTGCATATTAATTACTGTTGATGTTTAAAATAGGTAAATAAACCTAATTTATATAGGTCATCCTCAACATATCAGTGGGGATCTGCGCAATACCCAGTTTTAATATGTACGTGTATTTCAATAACACCCTGTATAGAGGGTGTCCCAAACCAGAATACCAATATAGCTATCTATTTTTTAAATGGGACTCCCTACATTTTCTTTAAATTTTAAGTTCATCTCTTAAAAATAATCTTAGTTTAATAAAGATTTCCTAGGCCCATCTTTGATAATTTCTGATTTATTTGACATTTTTTGAAAATGTACTGTCGAAATTAATCAATTGCTCTTTATTATAAAATAATTAATTACTCATGATTACAAAATAATTAATTAATGAATTTTTGGCAGTTCCTTACAAAACTTTTTATCAGATTCATTAAAATATTCAAAAAATGTACGGATTGTTTGCAATTTAATGTTGTTTAGTATTAAACTTTTTTTAATCTCTTGGAATTAAAAATAACACTTCAGTACCTAAAATTCAAAAAAATTAAAAGTTCAAGAACTATCTTTAAAAGTCACTGTCTTCACTATAACTACTGGTATCATTATTATCGGCTTTTCTGAGGTTTATTTTTATAGGGTATATTAAGTTTTCCGTTGCTATATCCACTTTCCAAAATAAATTTTTCACCTTTTTAACATGATCAATGCATTTTCTCCAATGTTCTCCATTTACATTTGAAAATGCATTCAAAAACAAATTTCGCACATCAAGTAATTTAAATGTATTGTTTCGAGAAACATAACCTTTTAATTGTGACCAGATCAGTTCAATGGGATTTACCTCTGTGTGGTAGGAAGGCAATCTGAGAATTACAATTCCTTTTTCTCGGGCCATCTCGTCTATAATATATTTTTTTAATTTGTTTTTATGTTGTCTTGCTATTACGAGTAATTCTGCCTTCAAGAATTTAGGAGGACTGATAATATTTTTAGAATGAAGCCGTTCTGATTTTTTTCTCTTCTTGTTGAAGGTAGTGACTCCTTCAATCGACTGTGATAGGATGCATTATTCAAAACAATAATGTAGTTGGCTGGATTTTTTTTTATAATGTTCTGAAACCAATTTTCAAATATAGGGTCATCTGTTTCTTAATAGTAGTCTCAAACATTATTAAACCATCTGGCAAAAATCCATCGGTGCTTCTAATGTGGGTTATTATTAAACGATTTCCTTTTCCTATTGGATTTTTTAATCTACAAGAGACCCCTTCCATAAATGCTTGTTTTTTTTTAATTTTGATGGAAGTATCTTGCCAAATTTTTGTTACTTTATGTCCAGAAATAGCCCATGTTTCATCTAAATAAAATACCTGTTTATGCTGATTCCTTGCGTCCGCTATTTTCCTTAAATAATTATGTCTCCACGCAATGATTTCTTTTTCTGTTAAAAAGTTGTTTCTGTCACGTTTTTTGTAACAAAAATTTAATTCATGTAATATTTTTTGCAAATGAAAATATATATTTGGAAGAGTAGGGTTATTTTCTTTTTCTGAGTGTAATTTTTTAAGTGTAGGAATTTCATTTCGAAAGAAAAGAGAATGTACCAATTGTCTTATTACATCCTTTACCCGTTTCAATAAAGGTCTTGTTTTTCCTGGGGACTTTTTTGGATGTGAGACTTCTCCAATAACTGTATCTTCGTTAATAATATTATGCACTGTTCGCTTAGATACTCCAGTATAATATAAGTCTCACATTTAGTGGCTATTTTATCCACAGAAAGGGAAACAGTCTTTTCGAAGATTACTAAATATATTAAGTATGATATTTTCTTCTTCTAAAGATAATGCTTTATCTACTAGGTCGTTTACATGTACTTGTGCTTGCAATATTTGCTAATGCACTCGCCATTCTTGTACAACTGTAAAAATATAATATATACTAATACAAAATTCGAATCAATTAAAATACATACGATACGGCTATGAATAAATAAAGTCTGACTTATCTGTCAAAATAAAAGGTTTATTACAGTAAAAACTATGGAAACAAGATTAAATCTAATTAAAAACTGTTATTAGGCCAATCAGATTTTCATGTTAACTACAAATAATACGTTCTGCAAATTAAATTACTGCACTCCTTTCTTCTCTAGACTATAGCTGCAACCACATTTTTGTCTAATATCCAAAAGAATATTCTCTCAAAAAAGGAGGGTCCCGCACCAATTGTCATCCTATCATGCCACCATAAACGTTTAACAACCATCGGTTTTGTCGATAAATTTCCATAGTTTTATTTTATGTCAAATTTGTTGTAGGGATCATTGAAAACATCAATGTTTTTACAGTCATTTAGGATGTTAAGTGTTTTGGTAATAGGTGAGTGTTTGCCATAGTTTGTATAATGCATAAGGATAAAAATAAATAATTTGATCTCGACAGCCTTGATGGAACTTTGAGATATATTTACTCCAGAATGTTAGGACAGTTGTAAATTCCATTAATTATATTATACATAAAAGATAGATCTAACATTAGTCTTCTTTTCTCCAATTGATCTAG